AGATTGCCCAAAGAACGCAGGGGCCGCCTGACTAGGCACCCTTGCACCGAGCGCGGCAGAGCCGCAACAGCCCTCAGAGACAGGGCCTGCAGCTCTTATCCCAGCAGCGCTGGGCTCTTCCGCCATTGCTCCTCGTTCAGGGCAGAGCCCTGACCCTTTGGCCTCGGCACCGCCGCTGCACCCGCCTGCAACAAGTAAGCCAGGACGTGCCACCGCTGCGCCGTCGCACGACGCCGCGCCCGCGGTGAACGCCGAGCCCCCACAGTGCTCCTCTTGTCCGAACAGCACAGCGTGCTGGCAGACAACGCTCGGAGCGTTCCTCTTCCCGAGCCGGCTTCGCAAGCGACCCCTCGGCCTCCGCTTTTTGTGGAAGTTTTCTGCGGCCTCGGTCGCCTTAGTAAGGCAGCCATCGAGAAAGGCTTCTCGAATATCGCCGTGGATCACAGGACCAAGGCCAGAGGCCTCAAGGTCCTTCAGCTCGACCTTTGCACCCAGTTGGGTCGCAACTTGCTGAGAGCAGTGCTCTCACACCAAGATTTGAGATGGGTCCACTGGGCCCCCCCGTGCGGCACCTTTAGCAGAGCTAGAGAGATTCCCAGGCCGGGAGCTCCGGGCCCCTTGCGCAGCGAAGCGCGCCCAGCGGGCCTTAAAGGCCTCAAAGGAGCCGACGCCGCGCGAGTTCACAGCGCGAACAGCCTAGTCGCTTTTATGGCACAGTGTTGCCACTCCCTGTCTCAGCGCGGCGTTTGCTGGTCCATAGAAAATCGGGCTCGTAGCCTCCTGTGGAGGATGCCCTGCCTCAGAGAGGCCTTGCAGTCAGCTCACAGAGTAGAGTTTGACTCGTGCATGTTCGGCAGCATGCGCCGCAAGCGTACCGCAATCCTCTCCAACTTGGATTGGTTCGCAGGTCTGAGCAGAGACTGCGACGGAGGCCACAAGCACCTGCCGTGGGGAAGAGCCTCAGTGGATGGTTCCACAGTGTGGTCCACATCCCTAGAAAGCGCCTACACTACTCAGTTGAGTTCCGTCTGGGTTTCCCTCGCGGCCGACCAATGCGCAGCAGCACTCCAGGCAGCGCCTCTCAGTCGCAAGCGACTGCGTCGTCTGCGCTACGAGCCAGACTTCAGTGACAAAGTCACTCTCCAAGGCCCCGCAGGGCGGTGCTTTCGAGGCTGGAAGACTCCGCAGAAGCTTCCACAGTCGTGGACCTGCTTCCCAAAAGGCTCAAGGCTCATCCAGTGGATTGAAGCCTCCCAGAAAGCCATCATCGCCATCCCGCTGCAGCCTCTACACTGGGTGCGCAGAGCGCATCTGATCGATCACCCAGCCAGGGACATCGAGGCAGTGCCTCTATCCCTTAAGCGAGCCATTGCCGCCGAAGTCCACGAAGACACTGTCCTGCTGGCCAAGCGCCGCACGGTGGCATCGATGCATATCTCTCGAACTTGCACAGAGTGCCAAGCCCGCGAGACCGAGGTACGTTCGTCGATTGACGCTCAGGTGAACAGCGTCACCAAGCCTAAGCAGACAGTAGCTTTAGCAAAGCTTCTGACCGAAATCGACTTTCCGGACAAGACTTTGGCCCAGCAGGTGCGAGAAGGCTTTCCTCTGCTTGGCTGGATACAACCCAGTGGGTTGTGGCCAGTGCAGATTCTGCCCCCTTCTCTAGACGAGAAGTCACTACTTGAAAACGCCCAGAGCATCAGTATGCGAGGTGTTCGCAGCGCTCTGCGCCCCTCGCAAGACGGGATCTCGGACAGAGTCTGGGAAAGCACCATGGAGGAAGGCCAGCAGGGCTGGCTCTCTTTGGAAGACTTCTCGCCAGAGCAGCTGCGCGAGACGATAGTATCGTCCCGCTTCGGCGTCGTTCAAAAGGGCAAAGTGCGCCCCATTGATAACTTCAAAAGCAGCTTCATTAACAGCTGCTGTGGGACCACAGAGAAGGTCCAAGTTGATAGCATCGACGAGCTTCTTGCAGTGTGCCTGGAGTGGCTTCGCCAAGGTGTTCCCGCAGAGCGGGCCCACCGCATTGTGGGCAGGACCTGGGACCTTAAGAGTGCCTACAAGCAGCTTGCAGTGCAAGCCGCACACAAGAAATTCGCGTGCATCGTCATGCTGGACCCACAGAGTGGGAAGGTGAAAATCGCCCACCTACATAGCATGCCTTTCGGCGCAGTGGCCGCCGTGCACGCTTTCCTCCGCTGCAGCGAAGCGCTCAAAGCCATCGGCCGCGAAAAGCTTGCTTTAGTCATGACAAGCTTCTTTGACGACTTCACCGTCCTTACGCGCAGCGCGCATTCAAAGCTCGTCACGTTGGCAGTGTCCAACCTCTTTCACAAGCTGGGTTGGCAAGTAGCCACGGAGCCCAAGAAGAACGCAGACTTCAGCGAAGTCTTCGACGTGCTAGGCGTGCGAGTGGACTTGTCCAAGCAGCACCTCGGAGAAATCTCAGTGAGTAACAAGCCAACCCGTGCAGCAGAGCTGGGGTTGGTCCTCAGCGAGGCCCTCGCCCGCGGAAGCATGTCCCCCTTGGAAGCGCAGAGCCTGCGCGGTAGGCTCATTTTCGCTGAGCAGCAAGCCTGGGGTCGTAACACTCGCATGGCAGTGATCTGCGTAGGCGACGTCCTTGGGGATGGACCAGAGCAAGTCCCCCTAACAGAGCAGCAATGCCAAGCCATGGCGTTCCTGCTGCAGAGAGTCGTGCACGGACCGCCCAGGACAGTGTCCATCCATGCACGCCGCAAAGTGCACCTGTACATCGACGGGGCCTGCGAGTGGGAGACCCCGAGACTCGTGCCCAAGTGTGGCCTCGGAGCAGTGCTCATCGGAGAAGGCATCGCCTTCACCTGGGGGCTGCAGATCAGCAGCCAAGTCACAGCCCAGTGGGCCACCAGAGCTCAGAAGCAGCAGCTCGTCTACGAGTGCGAGCTGTTGCCCTACTTGCTCAGCCTCCAAATGTGGGCTAAGCACATAGCAGGCAGCGACCTGTTCGTCTGGATTGACAACGACGCAGCGCGTACCTCCCTGCACAAGGCCTTCACACGCAAGGTGGAAGGAGCGGCGATAGTTTCGCAAGCGGTGGACTTCGAAGAATCCCTGCAGTGCAGGGCCGCTTTCTTTCGAGTCCCCACAGACAGCAATATAGCTGATGGCCCCAGCAGAGACTGGTGGGAGGAGACACAACGGCTTGGCGCAGAGCGCCAATTCTTGCCGCCCAACGCAGTGTCGTTGGCTTTGTCACTCGGCGCGGACTAGATGGGGGGTGAGTAAGGCTTCGAGTGCCTTCAAGGGGGGTGAACCAGTCGTTCGCCTTACCATCGACCAGCGGTCGAGTTTTGGTTTGAAATGCCAGTGGCATCGTTTCGACATAGCCCGAAGATCGGGCCCGAACCGACCCCCCATGTCCGCTAGGAGGAAAAAAGAGAGTGCTTTGCACAGGGTCCTTTCTGCAGCGCAGTTAGGGTTTCCCAAACGCGCGCTAACGGAAGTTTCGTTGGAAAATAAGCATCCATCATGCGTGCGTGAATGGGTTTTATTTTCCGCCGAAAGTGTAGACAAAGTTTGTCGAAAAAGGAAAACAGTGTTTTCACTTGTGTGTGAGTGACACTAGACAAACTTTGCCGTGCAGCTTTCGGCTTGGAGTTGGATCTGTGATCCAAAAAGTTTTTGTCCCACCCACCACACCCTGTATAGTATGCGGGGTCCGGGACACCGCTTCGGCAGCAGAGCTGCCAGGAGCAGCGCTCCTATGCTCTCTCCCGCGGAGAGTTTTCAGCACAGAGTGCGCTTTTGTATATAGGCCGTAGGCCGTGCAAATGCAGAGTAGCACCTAGTAGCTGCAGTGACCCAGTAGGTCCTAGCATGTTTCACTTTATCTCCCCGTGGTACGGGTTATCCCCTAGTAGGGGGGGTGAACCAGTCGTTCGCCTTACCACCGACCAGCGGTCGAGTTTTGGTTTGAAATGCCAGTGGCATCGTTTCGACATAGCCCGAAGATCGGGCCCGAACCGACCCCCCATGTCCGCTAGGAGAAAAAAAAAGAGAGTGCTTTGCACAGGGTCCTTTCTGCAGCGCAGTTAGGGTTTCCCAAACGCGCGCTAACGGAAGTTTCGTTGGAAAATAAGGTACAGACCTTCCAAGAAGATTCGATCCGATATCCGTGAAGAGTATGATCTCTTGACGGAAGAGGATAAGGCCTTGTCTGTGAGTCCTTATAGGAACTCATCTAATCTTACTCAGAAGGTACAACGGAAGGAAGCGACCGCCAAGGAGAAGCGAGAGATGAAGAAGCAGTTCGACGAAGCAAAGGCAGCCGAGTATCAGAGCTGGCTGGACAACGATGTATTTGAGCTTGTTGATACACGCAAGCTCGGAAACATCCGAAATTATGTGACAGGTCGATGGGTCCTAACTCTAAAAAGAGATAAGGACGGAAACTTTCTGAAGTGCAAGGCCCGGTGGGTCTTGAGAGGTTTCCAAGATCGACAAAAGGATGTTCAGCAAACTGATAGTCCTGCCGCTAGTCGTCCAGGCTTCCGTTTAGCAATTCAATTGGCAGCTAACAAGCTGTGGAATTTAACACACATTGACCTTAAGACCGCCTTTCTACAGGGTGAGGCTTACGATGAGTCTCGTGATATCATCTGCCAAATTCCTCCTGAGGCAGGCTATCCTCCTTACATAGCTGCAAGGATGAAGAAGCCCGCCTATGGACTCAACGATGCACCTCGCAGATGGTGGAACATCGTAGACAAGGCACTCTTGTCTTACGGTCTTGTTCCTACCCGTGCAGACCGTTGTACATATGTTCTGTATGGCAAGAAGTCTGCAACAGCAGAGGCGGAACTTAAGAAGTCCCAGCCCAAGTCTATGGAGTCTGCAATTGACTATCTCCTTGATCCCATAGCAGGCAACAATGCCAAGGGCAGAGAAGTTCATGGAGTAGTCTGTCATACACAAATAAAGAAAGCTTGGAAATCATCAGCTTCAACTTCCTCGCGATGCCCTCCGGAGATCGTGTGCCCTGCACGGCAGTATCCAAGAAGTTCGCAACGGCTGAAACCTGGACCGTCATCATGAACATTATTTCTTGGAGTTTGCGTATGCTTTCTATGGGTGCTGTGAGCACTAAACTTCCCGACGGCTCTGGGTGGCTAAGCAAGGAGAAGCAAAAATACTTCCGAAAGCACGGTGATCAGTTGGCAGGGCGTGCTTTGTTATTGCAGGTACGTGGGGATTGGCCGTTCCTTCGGCAGTTGTTCCAATTTCCAAGCTGGAGCTCGGAGTCGATTTGTTGGAAGTGCCGTGCCATGAATGTGGACACGAGTAATCCCCTGAGCTTCCGGATCTGCAATTCTGGAGCAGCGTGGAGGCGGAATCGACTGTCTGATGTTGATTTCCTGACCGAGCTGCGTGCAGCAGGAGGTTCCCTGTCACCTCTTTTAAGCCTGCCCGGCTTCGTGCTGAGCTGTGTCGTCCTGGACTGGCTACACATCGGTGACCTGGGTGTCGGTGCCGATGTCATAGGCAATTTGTTCTGGCTCCTGATCACATCAAATGTCTACTTTCCCGAAAGTGGCGCGGAGCAGCGTTTGGTGCGGCTATGGCAGCGAATTCGGGATTTTTATAGACAATTTCGCCCTCCTAGTGTTCTGGACAATCTCACCCTGGAGATGATTCGCCGAGAAGGGGCCAGCAAGAAACCCAAGCTTAAGGCGAAGGGAGGCGAATGTCGTTACCTCGTACCATTTGCTTTCGAGATTTCCCGTGAGTTCATGCAGACGTACCCTGAAGATGGCACCATGCGTTTGGTTGCAGGTCTGTTCGCTTTGCTATTTCAATTGCAAAAGCGTATCTCTGCCGTGGACGAGGTTTTCGATCACGAGAAGGCTGCTGAAGAATGCCGTCGCTTTTGCGTACTTTACCAAACTCTTCAAGAACAGTCACCCTTCCCGTTTTGGCAGATGAAACTCAAGGTGCATTTAATGGAAGAAATGCTTGAATACCAGACGGAGCAGCATGGAAACCCCAGGGACTATTGGACCTATCGCGACGAGAGCTGGTGCGGGTATTGGGCCAAAGCTTCCAAGAGACGAGGCGGTAAGAACACCTCCTCCACCAATGCAAAGAATTTCTTGCTGCGGTTTTTGGCCTCGGATGCTCTCGACGGAGAAGCTCTGTAAAAACGTTTAATGAGTTTATTTTGTCGAAACTCTTAAATATATATATATATATATATATATATATATATATACATATGTAAGAAGTTGTTGTGCATTGTGTCCTTCTGCAGCCATTTCCGCAGCCATTTTCCGGCCCGATTATTGCTTTATATATTCCCAGCCATGGCAAAAGCGGTGCTGCTTCAGAAGCTGGACCCCAAGGGCAACAAAGATGCATGGATCAGGGTCCAGGACGGGGAGCCTCCGAGATCCAGGGACGAGTTGTTGTACGAGTTTGCCTGCTACGTGCTGGAGGGCCACCACGAACTTGCCAACCGGTTCTACAAGTACGAAGAAGTGTGGTTTGTCGTGGAAGCTGTCCTTGAAGACGTCGCCCTGGACAAGGATGCCAAGGCAGTGAGAGTGTGGGATGTAGAAAAGCAGCAGCACGTCTCTTTGGCTTTCAAGTATGAGAGCTCCGAACCCGATTGCTTGGATTGAAAAAAGCCGACCTCGCCCAGTACATGTCGTGTCCTCTGGGCAGCACATGGTTTTCATCTTTAGTGGGTTTTCATTTGTAGCTATAGGAGCCGGTTGCTCCTGCAATATATAATGGTCTAAGAGCATATGCTCCTATATAGTTAACTTAATGTTAACTATATAGGAGCATATGCTCCTACACCATTATGCTGAAGAACAAATTGTTCTATAGATTTTGTAATGTTTCTGTACTGCAGCATATATCTTGCCGGAACATGTCCAGTTGCATGATGCAATCGCTTTCATTCCAACTGATGCCATGCATGCAGCATGGTTCAAGTCGCGATTTAGAGTCCAAGCTATATATACTATAGTCGTTCCCGGCCATGCCTGCTGAGCTACAAGTATACGAAGAAGTGTGGTTTGTCGTGGAAGCTGTTCTTGAAGACATCGCCCTGGACAAGCTAGGATGCCAAGGCAGTGAGAGTGTGGGATGTAGATAAGCAGCAGTACGTCTCTTTAGCTTTCAAGTATGAGAGCTCCGACCTCGATTGCTTGGATTGAAAAAAGCCGACCTCGCCCAGTACATGTCGTGTCCTCTGGGCAGCACATGGTTTTCATCTTTAGTGGGTTTTCATTTGTAGCTATAGGAGCCGGTTGCTCCTGCAATATAATGGTCTAAGAGCATATGCTCCTATATAGTTAACTTAATTAAATATCTAGGAGCAAAATAAGATCTACCAGCGGCCACTGCCAGCGCCCTTATCAGCGTTCAAAAGCCGGAGTATGTATATCTACCAGCGCCCTGTGAAAGCGCCTGATAACATCTATCAGCCACTGCTATACCAGCGCCGATGCTCTGGGTTAGAGGGAGTCCTTGGCTTGCTCAACTGGGCAACGTCTTTGAGCAGACATATGAGGCCATTCATGGCGCCGCTGTATAAAGATTTGCACAGCTGCAAGGGCACCCTGCGCAGCATCTCGCCAAGCATGTGGGGAATTTTTCTTGACAGCCTTGATAAGCACGCCAAGCTCACACGCACACCCGCTGGCACATGGCTACCACGCAATGCACAGCTACTGGAGGTAGGTAGCATCAAAATCTCCAGCAAAGCCGACGTGCCGCTTGTGCCGCCATCGCACAAACACCAGTGGGTGCGTCTGGCGGATCCGCACAGATCCGAGGTGCACCTGCGCCACGAAAGTAAGTTTGTGCTTGCATGGCTTCGGCACTGTTTCTCGCACGAACAGCCTCGCTCGTTGCGCACAGCCCCACGAATGCACTGCTACAGCGCCGCCGACGCTTTTGCAGACACGCATCGCATGGACATTGGAGGCTGGATCAGCACGTCTGATTCCTTTTTGTGGTTTAGTGCTATCTTCTCTGCTGAGGAGGTACGCAAGCAATGGCCGCAACTGCAAGGCAGCTTGCAGCCGTACGTCGGTTGCTTCGAAGCACTAGCACAGCTCGCACTGGCTCAGTGCTCTTGCCAGCTGTTGCGCAGCAAGCAGATTCGCTTTGTCCTGCCCACAGCATCAGACAACACGAGCGCCGAGTCCGGGCTCAACAAGCTCTTCAGCACTGCAGAGCTCCTTGGGACTTTTCTTCGCCTTGCAGCAACCTGGGCGCACCTGCACCGCGTGCAGTTTGAAGTAGAGCACCTCGCAGGTGAGAAGAACGTTTGGGCCGACAAGCTTAGCCGAGGCTCCACCTCTTTTCTCCAGCATCGCACTGCTGATAAGGCTTCAGTTACGCTAGCCCAACTAGCCTCCGCATCGCATTGTGTTACTCTGCACGGTCACTCGCTCCAGTGGCCGCAACAGCTAATTGACGCTCAGCACGCAATGCTCAAATGAATAAAAAAGAGCGACGCTTCTCTCTCTTTCTCTCGTGGTGCGCCTCACTGCTTAGCTTTGCAAGCCTCGCTTCGCCAGGTACATCCGCCATCTCGCGCGGTGAGGGGGAAATACAGCAGAGATTGAAGGATGCACCTAAAGTGGGGGATAGCTCGGCATCGCATGCCTCTTTCTCCTACGGCGAGCAATGCCTCGCACTGCAGCGCATCCTTAGCAATCTCTGCGGTAAAAAAGGTGGATTGCATCAGAACGCTCTGCACTGCAACCTTGACTCATTCGAGATAGTTTAGAGAACGCTAGTTGTTACATGAGGTGACATTCCTGCATATGTAAGCATTGCTTCAGAGACATGTACGGCAGCCCTTTTGTTCAGCGGTGCAGAAAACATGGTAGCGGAGCCCCACTAGGGGGTCTCCTTGTAGCTACGCTGCCCTTGCGGAAATTTCAGTTTCACCCGATAAGAGCCCTCGCTTTCCTCTGCTGCAATTTGATTTGCCAGAGCGACGCCACTGCTGCCCTTAGCTGGGCCAGAGGCCAATCCTTTTTCTATTGGGTAAGCCCTCCTGGGTGTGAGGCGCCACCGGAAGTTTTCAGTGCGTGTGGGAGTTTTTCAGCAGAGGAGCGGGCAGCGGAGATTGCAGGGAACCAGGGTGTGTGTGCAGATTGGTTTGGCAGGTTTTCACTTGCTGAAGTTTCAGGTGCAAAGTTAGGGATGGATCAAGCAGCGCAAGCGCAACAGCAGGCACAACAGCAGGCACAACAGCAAGCACAACAGCAGGCACAGCAACAGGCACAACAGCAAGCACAGCAGCAGGCAGCGGCAGCTCAGCAAGCAGCCGCGGCCCAGGCAGTTTCCGTTCAGCCAGGGCAAGTTTTCACAACGGAGCAAGTGGATGTTATTGTTCGGCAGCGTCTGGAGCAGGCGCTTGGCAATGTCTTTGGCAAGGTGCTTGGTGCAACAGAGAGGGCGGCCACAGCCGCCGAGCAGCAGGCAAAGGCTTCAAGACAGGACCACCTGGTCAAGGCGATCAAGGTGGATGTGTGGAAGCCTCAGAACAGAGAAGAAGAAGTGCGCACGTGGCGCGATTGGTTCTTTCAGTTCTGCACGTGGCTTTATGCAACCGATGGCATGTATGAGGAGGAGATCACGCTGATCGACCTCGACGAGGCCTGTGACCATGATGTGATGCCGGCCCCGGCTGTGGAAAGAAGTCAAAAGCTGTTCGGAGTGTTGTGCTCCTTGGTGCGGGGGAGGCCCTTGCTTATTATACGTGGCCTCGAGAAGGACAAGAATGGCTATGAAGCGGTGAGGCTGCTGAAGCGAGAGATGGAACCCAAGGAGCGCAGCCGCAGCTTGGCATTTGTCAAGCAGCTCGCCAGCTGGACCTTCAAGGAGAATGCTGGTCTACATGAACAACTTATAGCCTACGAAGAAGCAATCAGGAACTATGAAGCGTCAAGTGGCAACAAATTTCCCCCAGACCTTATTGTTGCCACCGTCGTTGGGGGGCTCTCCGAACCCCTCAAGTCGCAGGTGCAACTCAAGCTGACCGACAAGACCGAATACCATGACTTGCGTGAGTGGATATTACAATATGAAAGCATGAATGCACCATGGACGGCGTCCCTGAAGCCGTCCCCTTCTTCCTCAGCCAACCAAGGTGCTCAGCCAATGGAGGTTGACCAGATCAAGGGCAAGAAAGGAAAAGACAAAGGCGGCAAGAAGGGCAAGGACAAAGATGGCGGCAAAGGCGGAAAGTGTGGCAAAAAGGGCCACTGGGGAACCCAGTGGAACAATTACTTCCCGGGCAAAGGCAAAGGAGATGGAGGAGCAGCTTCTTGGAGAGGCGGCGGCTGGCAGCAGCATGGGGGAAAAGGGAAAGACAAAGGCAAAGGGAAGAGCAAGGACGGCCGTGGGAACTACCGCGGGACCTGCCACATTTGCGGCCAGCCTGGCCATTGGAAAAATGAGTGCCCGATGGCTGGGAAAGCAAAGGGCAAGACCGGCAAGGTCCAGCAGGTCGAGGATGGCTCGGAGTCAGTGGCCCCCTCGATTACCTCAACCGCGGCGCCTTCTACCTCTGCCACTGCCTACCGCACGCCGTCTGTGCGCCAAGTCAGTGTGGCACCGATCAGCACTCCCCCTGGGTGCTCGGAGACGCTTATCTTTGACATAGCTGAAGAAGGTGACTTTGAAGACTTTTCGCTAGACGGCCCAGGGGTGATGGTCATCAAGGCAAGCTACCTAGAGACAATCCACGAGGACTACCCGGAAGCAATCCACAGTGACTACCCAGAGGCAATCCACAGTGACTACCCGGAGGCAGTCCACAGTGACTACCCGGAGGCAATCCACGAGTACTACCTGGAGGCAACCACAAGCTACAGCCAGCTTAGTGGCCACCGTGATGGTCCTGAGGTGTATGCCCTTGATGCCACAGACCATGATGGCAATTGGACGTTTTGCCCTGAGGTCTCCAACCAGATCTGCATGGTCGCCGCCAGCCAGGCCGGGGAGAGCATTGAGACGGAAGTTGTCGTTGATTCTGGGGCTGATGTTTCAGTTGCCCCTTTGCGGTTCTGGCGATCGGGGAAAGCAGCTCACTGGCAACATGTGGCCATGCAGGATGCACAGGGAAGGCGCATACGGGACCATGGGGCAAGGACCTTGGATGTTGTGGTCC